AGAGGTGGAAGGAAAAGGGGGGGGGGGGGGGGGGGGGGGGGAGAGAAGAGGCCATACTCTTGTAATTTTCCCTTGACAGTTCTCAGCCAGCTTGAATGACAGTTATTTGCAAGAATAAAGGGAGTTAGTCCCTGAGGGTGGCAATTTAGTTTCCACAATACTAAACACTGATGAATGAGCTACTGAAATCATCTACTACGCCCGCATGCTACTGGGACTCTACTGGGGATACTGGCAGGGGTCCTTTTGTAGAAAAAGAGGTGCAGGAGCTCATTAGCATAACTTATTTGCATATGCCACACCCCCTGATATCACCGGAAGTGTGTCAGAAGGCAACAAGCACCGCTCAGGCTCCACTGGACTGTTTTGGATTGCTAGCTATTGGGGGGAACATGCAGATCTGTCCTCGCAGAGGGGGGAGAGCTCGTACCTGAATAAAACTTGGTCTTAAAGGTGTCACTGGACTGTTTTGGACCGGGGGGCCAGGGGGGGCCCTGCAGCTTACCTGGCTGCTTCTTGCTCTGACTGAGGGCTGCTGGGAGCAGGGGGTGGGGCTTGTCGCATGTGCCCGCCCCCTGGGCTCTTTACTGCCGGAGCTCCGCTCCTGTGCGCTCCTGCAGGAAATGACCCCTGGATACTGGTCTAGTCATACTGGACCATCTTACAACTATTGCCATCCGCACTTTGCTATTGTACTTAATCTGCACTTTATATATTACTGTTGAATTTTATCTGTTTTATTGTAATTTTAACTCATTGTACGCCGCCCTGAGCCTGCCTGTCAGGCAAGGCGGGATATAAATAGAAATAAATAAATAGGTGGTCACTCGGACCTGCATGCATGCCTCAAGTGGAACTAGCCCTGCCTCCAAACTGAGGAGAGCATTTGGAATACATTGAAGGATTCCAGATAGTGACTGCAAGAATTTAAGATTGTGTCAGTTCCAGAAGGCAAAGCCAGTAGTAGTACATTAATTGGGCAACAACCTTCCCCCCAAAAAACCTTAATTGACATGGGGATCCAAGTGGCCCCTTTTGCAAAACAGAAACAGATGGCTGAGGTAATTCTATGGGCATTCTCACTAACACTCACTACTTGAGCTCTCCACAACCCATTAGACTGGAAGACTACAGTGAAGCATTTAAAAGTTTTTACCTGTATGATGTCATGTCCCTAAAGCTGCTGTCTGTGCGCAATACACTGTGCATTGGTCTCTCTTCAGAATCAATTCAGTAACTCCAACCAGGGCTCTTTTTGTAGAAAAAGCCCAGCAGGAACTCATTAGCATAATAGGCCACACCCAACACCAGAAACGTATAAGCATATTAGGCCACACCCCTGCCAGCACAGCTCATTAGCACATCAGGACGCACCCCCATGTTACCAGAAGTGTGGTTATCCAGCCACACCCACCTTTTGCTTGTTATCCTGTTTACCTTGTTTGTTGTCAAAGGGCTTTTTTGCAGCAGGAACTCCTTTGCATGTTAGGCCACACACCCCTAATGTAGCCAATCCTAATGAGTTTCAGCTGTTGGGTGTGGCCTATTATGCTAATGAGTTCCTGCTGGGCGTGGCCAACTTGGGAGCCAGCCGGAACTCTGTTCCTGTGCGTTCCTGCCCAAAAATAGCCCTGACTCCAACTGATGCAGAATGCTGCAGCTTGGCTATTTTTGAGAGCTACTCTCATTCTGCAGTCATTCCACAGGCTGCCCATCAGTTACTGGGCTCAGATTTAAAGTATTGGCTGACACATACAAAACCCTTCATGGCCTTGGCCCTTTGTATCTGTGAGACCGTCTCTCTCCCTATGCTCTGCCACACAACAGCTTTGGTCATCTCAGCAGGGTAGGGTCACCAGGTTGGAAGATACCTGGAGATTTTGGGGGTGGAGCCTGGAAAGCGTGGGGCTTGGGGAGGGGGGGGGACTTCAATGGCATATAGTGCCATACAGTCCACCTTCCAAAGCAGCCATTTTCTCCAAGTGAATTGATCTCTGTTGCCTGGAGATCAGCTGTAATGGCAAGAGATCTCCAGCCACTACCTGGAGGTTGGCAACTCTAGAGCATGGCCTTCTGCAAGTGCTAGCCTGCAAATGGGCATAATCAGCTCCTGCTTGTACTCATGGCTTCTCTGTTGTGCCCCCGCCCCCCACCTTGTGGAATGGCCTGCCTGAGGAGGTCAAGAGGGCTCCCCCTCTCCTGGCTTTCCACAAACTATGTGAAACTGAATTATTCAAGAGGGCTTTTATACACAGGCTATAGAGTACCATTGTACAAAATGATCCACAAAGTTACTTGGACAAATGCAGAGTTTGGTGCCTGAACTCTCAAGGGGGAAATGAAGTTTTCGATCTGTGTACTGAGAACTCATGAAAACCTGTAAACATTTTTAAAAGAATCTTGTCAAAGAGGTTCCGGAACTCTGTTCCAGTGCGTTCCCCCAGGAAAAAAAGCCCTAGTTTGCCGTAAATTGGATCCATTTAATATATCATATTAACACGCTTTGCTTCAGTTCTGTTTTTAGATTTCTGGTTGGTTCTACGACCCAAATCCTATTTCATTGTTTTACTGAATGTTCCATCCTGCTAATTGTATTGACTCGCTCAGTGTAATCTGCCTTGTGAGAAAGGCCAACTATAAATAATGTAAATAACAAATAAATTAAGTGAGCTACATGGTTTGAATCTGTATATGGCAACTCTGTATGTCTGTATACTCCACAAATGTTTTCTGCACTGGCTTTCCACAGTCACAGCACTGGTTTTGAACAGCCGCTCTTGGCACTGCTGAGGGACTTCTGCCTGTGTTCCCCCAGCAGTCCTTGAAGAACACTATAATTCTGGTAAGCCAGTGCTAGGGATAAGGTTGATAGCAGCTTGCTGAAGAACATTTAGTGAGTTCATGCCCAGGCACGACTTGAACTGGGGATTCTTCCTGACTCTTCTTTCCGTAGCCATTAACAGGAAATCCCTCATCCAGCCTTGCAGCATACCCAATGATGCAATCCTGTGCAGATGTCATTCACCAGCTAAAAGGACTTGCCCCATGTTCTATCACCATCTTTGAGGACAGCTTCTGCCCCAGGCTAAATTCTGTGGCTTGCCACTGCCCCGAGGCATCTCCCAGCTGTAGCCTTCTATGGACACATGATCAGAGCCAAACTGGGCACCACAGGGCCATTAGTCATGTGTTCACAAGTGGGCAGGGAATAATTTTTGAGGGAAAGGGACATTTAGCCTTACCTGCAATATCCCCATTCTCAATGATTACAAGGTAGAGTGGTCTTGACTGGGAAGATCCTACCTAGTCTTGGTCAACCAGCAGAATTCCAGGGCAGAAAGTCACAAGGGGAGGGTTTCCCCTCAGCTCCCAGACATGCATGGAACCTGAAAAAGCCCCAGTATTAAAGGAATATGTTCAGCTGCAACAACAGTGTCCCCAAGACAGCGCCCCCTTTGCTTGTTATGCATATAGCATCAGTATTCCAAGGGCCAAATACAGCTCAGCATCCACTAGAGCCATATAACTCCCCCTGCTATGACAGGCATTTGGCTGGTACATCTATGTTCACAGCTGCAGGCATAACTGGAATTCTTCAGAACCAAAGTGAGATATTTTTAGCCAGGATAAGCAAGGCGGTATTAACTGGAATTCAGTAAGCTTTTACACAGAATATGAATAAAAAGGTAAATAAAAAGAATATGAATAGTCAATGTTTAAAACTTTTTTTTAATAAAGTGCTTTCCCCATCTGTACAATCCAAGAAGCAGATGTCTACAACCTCTCTGGCCAAAGTGAATCATTGCTAAAGACACTGAGAGTCAGAAAATCACCGCTCTAATTCATTACTGAGTATATCCCATACATTACATGTTTGCCACACACAGGCTGTTTCCCAGCATAAATGGGCTACTTAGACCAGAAGATAATTCATGCATTCTTCAGAGCTGGAATAAAATTGGGAGTTTTCACTGCTCTTGGATGGATGAATACCTTCACCAAGTCATCTGACCTCAAGTCATTTGTCACAGGGTTAGCCACGCAAGACTAAACCATCTTGAGTAACTGTATTCCCAGAACTGTGTTGTCTGTCCTACACTCTTTGCTGCAAAGGCAGAGGTCTGCGGACAAAAACACGCTCAGGAAAGCCTCAGATCTGTGCTTTGCTGAAAGCTCTGGGACATGGAGTTAGGGTGGGGTGGGGGATCTGCTTTAGCTTCAAAATCACGAAGTGCAGTGGAAAGGGGAGATGAAGGGATACCAACTTCCCCCTCCACTTCCCTATGGTCCAACCCTGCACAAGCAGCACCCCTGTGAGGAAGGAAAGTAAAAATGTCCTCTGACCCCCGCGGGAGACAGAAGAAGGCTGGAGAATGAGAGAATTACCAGACTCAGAACTCATTTCCCACCATAACACAGACACAAACTACTGCAGATGATCAACACACTGCCAAAGGGCCTGCTCATCATGCCCCACTTTAGAGATGGGTCTTCCTTGGTGGTGGGGCCTTAGTAGTAGAATTCCTATTAGCCTGGCACCTGCTCTATTGAGCACTAGGTGCCACTGGGAAACATTTTTATTTGCTGTCATTAACGGTTAATTTATTGATGTTTATCTCCCAGAAAAAGCCCTGGTCCCAAGTGAATTTGACAACTACCTTCGGGCCACAGTTAAGGGTCTATTTTATGCACTAGGCTAATTTTTGGACGGCAAATCAGCTAGACTTTACTGATCCTAGAATGTTGCAAACTGCAGTCAGTTTAATTGATAGAGTAACCAACACATGTTGATCAGTGAAAAAGGTTAATTGACAAAACAGGTTGTTAAGAGCATACTTTTTTGATGCTATGTTCCTTCAGGTGCTTAAATGCAATAAGGAATAGAAAATATTTAAGTTTTCCTTCTAAATGAGTGGGAACCTTTTCTTATGTAAACTGTTTTACCCTTCATTCAGTATCTCAAAGCAGTGGCTGGCTACACTGAGTGCTTGGTATCATGCCAATTCATTGAAGTATAGCCAATCAATACTTTTCAAAGGCAGTTGGTTAGCCACCTAAAAATTCTGTGCTCTGCCTGTGGGCTTCCCGGAAGTATCTGGCTTGCCACTACTGGAGGAAACAGGATGCTTGGCTAGATTTATCCACGGTCTGATCTAGCAGCCCTCTTCTCATGTTCCTATTTTTAATCAGGTGGGTGGAGTCCAGCAGCACCTTAAAAGACCAACAACATTTTCCAGGCTATAAGTTCTTTTGTATCTTTATTAAGTAAGTCTGAACACAATAGACCAGGGATGGACAGAAGATAAACCTAGCAGGTCCCTGGCCAGTTTCTGGTGGATTGCCTAATGCCTATTGGTTGCTGGCATTCTTTCGTGGAATGCTGGAGTAGGTAAATCCCCTTAGGGATTTTTATTATTTTGGCCCAAATAATGAGCCTTTTAATCATTCACAGATTTCAACAACTTGCAACCATTGTATTTTATGGGGGGGAAACAACACCCCACAATTTGGCATCACTGTTTGTAAAAATTCAGGTCCCAGGACTCAACCCTAGAAAGTTAAGCAGAAATAAGGAAGAGAACCTCTGGGCATGTGGGAAGTTCACATCATTTCCCAGAGAATAATCACAGACAATTTCCAAACCATCTGTGATTAAACATTTCAGCTTGAAATAAGGAGATGTACTCTGGGAAGGTTTGAAGCCAAGACTTTTTTTGAAACAGGAAAGCAAGCATTGTGCATAAGTCCAATTTATACAGTACAAAAACCAGAAACGCTACACTCACTTTGAACACTCATATTCATTATTACCTTGCAGCTGTTCCAATTCAATAGACTGGACAAGAGTTCGATGGAACAGTGAAAAGAAGGTTAAGTTCTTTTGTTCTGCAGGACCAGAATTAATTCTATTAAAAATATATAAAATGTCCAAAAGACAGACACAGGTGTAGATTAGGCTGTAAGAACCCCTTCATACCCCTCTCAGACTGTCTGAATGAGCAGAACAGATCTCAAAAGAGTTGAAGTACATACATGCAGTTTTATATGACAGACTAAACACTTTATTTTAGAGATGTCTTCGGAAGCCAGAGGACCCCATGCTCAAAACTCTCCTTAAAATAGTTTTTTTTGTGTTGAAAACTGCATAATGATTATTAGCTTTACAAATTCTGTTTTTTAAAAAAATACCATAATAATGTGTGTATCTATATACACATATATAGCACCTTTCATGTAAGGACTTCTAAGTGCATTAATAACAACGCCAAGATCACCAGGGGAGGAAAGGGACTGCAGATCATCAGACTACCAGTAGCACACAGAGAAAGATCTCGGGACCGAAGTCACACAAACAGTGCAAGGGCTGAGGATTGGTGTCTGGCGTTCTACCACTAAGGAACCAGATGCAAACAAGGCCTGGGTTATGTGTGCAGAAGAATGAGGTGGCAGAAAGAGACACCATTTGAGGGATCCTCCTCCATGTTAAATCCCCTTATGAGTAGAAAACTAGTTTATCAGGAAGAAGGCCTAACACAGCCTAGTCTCCTGCTGAGCTTGTTTTCCACTTGCAAGGAATGTTTTTTACCCAAAGGGAAATTTCAGTCATGGGATTCCCCCACCTAATGGCTCAAGTGGCACAGCCCTGTCAATCACTTCAGTGGTCTTTCTGCTGCATTTATAGCTCTAGAAGCTGAAGTTTGAGGCAGACAGATTGTTTCCTCATGTCCTCAGGTAGCAGCATCCCTCCTAACAGAGAGGGAAAGGCCAGGCTACGAATATTGCTAGAAGTTCTTAACGTTTAAATTCAGAGCGAGGCTGAAATTCTCTGCACACTTACCAGGAAGTAAGTTCCTTTGACCACAGTGGAACTTAAGTCTGACCAGACATCATAAAATCATGTTGCACATATAAGTTGACCCCCCCCTTTTCTATTTGCATCCTCAGTTCTTCTTTCACTGGGTCTCTCAGGTCTCATGTGAGCAACAGGTCACCTGTTCAGATATGTAAAATTGATGTAAACTTCAGCAGTCATTGTTACCAGCTGTAACCACCTGATATTTTTGCCAGTTTTACATAGGGGCCAAATAGACGCCAAAAACGGCTGCAGATCAAACTGCCATGACCCAAATGTTATGACAGTCCGAGTAGGCGTACACACATTTGGTAGACAGACAGAATGACCTGCAGACATGAGAAATGTGATGCCTGAACAAATCCCTTCATGCCATCTGCTTCACATCAGCCAGCAGAGACATACAGGTTTACAAAGAAAAGTGCTCATTAGATATTATGAAAATATGGCATGCAAATCAAATTGGTCTAAAAAAACTGGTTTCACTGCGACTAACAGTGATATTCGAAATTGAACTTCACGTTTACCATTTTATTCTGCACAATGTGATAATTATAACTTGTACCTGTAGTGCCATTAAGCAGATAATCCAGTGAACACTGCCGGATGCCTACTTACAGAGGCCAGTTGAGAAATTACTCTTCCACACTTTTGCATTATATATTTAAAATGCCTAACAAAACACAGAAGCACATCGGCAGCCATTTCCTTCTTGCGTGACCAGATCCGATTCCAGCAATATTTCAGTCAAGTAACTCAGATTTATTGAACGGTCCCTAATATAGCCATTTTTAGATATTTACCATTTCCTTCTGCCCAAGAATTATGTTTGGAACAGGCAGAAAGCAGGAATTCAGTTTTAATGAGCAAGCCTGCTACTTATAGGTCAATCCTAAACAGTTACATCCTTCTAAGTCCACTGCGGGTTTAGAAGGGTATAACTCTGCTTAGAATTGCACTGTTAATGTCATAACAGAAAACATTTATCTTTTGAGTAGATAACAGCAGACAGAACAGTGGAATACCTGGTTTGCCTCTTACCACGGAACTTCTGCAAAACAGACCTAAGAGATACAAAGTAAAGGGGAAATGGGGAGAAGGTTTTAAAACATACAACCTGATCACAAACATGGTATCATCAATCAATAACAACAAAATTCAAAAGCCCTAAAAGGAAGAGGAAACTTGATGCAATTCCTGTTCCCTATGAACTTCATGTCCGTATGCAGATTAAGCTGTTCATCTCTTGCAGCAGAAAGAGTTCCACTTGGCAGATCGTTTCAAGGTCTTTGGGCAAGAAAGTTTCAGCATAATTCCCAAGACTTTGGCACTGCACTGCTGGCTACAATAGTGATCAAAGAAGTGAGCATGGGAGGGGATCAGTTTTAGGGAAACGATTCTGTCATTTCAAAAGGACCTTGGACCTTAACTACTGTGTGCAAACCCCAGACCATTAAACTAGCACAAATGTGATCAAGGGTGGGCATTTTCAGTCTCAGAGCTATATCCTGAAAGTCAAGAAGAAGAGCCAGACTTGACGAAAGCGACTAGATTTTTCTGTAGGGCAATAATTTCAGACGAGGGGCATCCTTTCCAGGCAATTCATGCGACCCACATTCTTTCACTTGTGGTGGTGTCTGACTGAGTGGTTACAGAAGAGATGCTTCATCTCAAGTTACAAAGCAAAGTGCAAATTCCTGATTAGGCCAAAGAATAGCTAAGGACACCTGCTTCCCACAATGCCATTCTCATGGCAGCTTTGTGAAGGCATCCTCTGCCTTCATAAAAAGATAAAAAGCTCATTCCTTATTCTCGCTGTGTATCTTTTGGACAGCGGCACTTGTGAGCTCCAGATCCTCAGGATATCGGATCTCCAATTCTGCATTTGCCACGTAGTGTGTGCTTGCAAACTCCATAAAGTAGCGACCGATGTCTGGGTGAGGGATTTCGCCGGGCTCTGTGTTATGCTCCAGGTTCTCTGCAAAAAAAGGAAAGAATCATTGCAGCCATGATCTACTGGGAAGAAACTGCTGATATCTGGTGCTATTCTCCATAATTCAGTATTCAGGGTACTCAAGAAGAAAAGAGAGAGAGAGAGAGAGAGAGAGAGAGAGAGAGAGAGAGAGAGAGAGAGCGCGCGCGCGCGAGAGAGAGAGAGAGAGAGAGAGAGAGAGAGAGCGTGGGAGAGAGAGAGAGAGAGAGAGAGAGAGGGAGAGAGAGAGAGCGCGAGAGAGATGTGTGAAAAGGATATGCAACTCTGAGCATGGTCTTTAAGTCTTGGAGAGGGGGGGGCAGGCATGACATACAAAATAAAGGCTCACAAAGTGGCTAGGCAGCGGAGGAAGCTGTACTGCCTTGCTACTTATTAGTGTACCTGGATGAACAAGAGAGGGCTGGCTTTACAGTGAGAAGGGTGCTGCTGCTGAAGAATCTGACAAAATAAAGACATTTTTAAAAGTTTGCAAAATTGTGTGGTCATGGATATGTGTGGGTATGTAAGGTATGTTACACGGAATAGTCACTGCTTGGGATCTTTACGCAGTCACACGGCAAGTGCTGCATAAAGGGATGAGTTACCTGCAGGACATATTGCATAGGGCAGTTCCCTGGTACAAAATGTCATCCACTGAAAGCTTATAAAATGAGATCTCCACATAAGAGCTGTGGTCTGTGAGAGACAAATATACTTTCTTCCATGTAATTCCTCCCCACCCCCAAAACCCAGCTGATGCACAGGGACCTAACTGAGGATCCTGGACAATAAGGATCCTAGGTTTAATAAAGACTGTGCAGTGCATGGAGACAGGTACCTCAACACACCCCTATTCATAGAAAATTGGCAATCTGTAGCATTCTCCCTCTAAACGGGCAGCGTGACATAAACTTCCCAACGATTAATCTGCTCCCACTCTATTTAGAAAAAGGAAATCTGGCACACTTGTCACTGAAGAAACCCTGATTAGAAGAACAGCCTAGAAATGGAACATTTTAACACCTAACAGTTAAGACTCAGGATGTGACATTTACACCCCCTAGAACAAGGCTGTACTCTAGCACAGAGCAAACAAAGGGGGAGGGAGAGGGCGGCAACAGGATGTTAACTAGTGTGGGTTTCTGCTGCACCTTCACATTCTCCGATCAGCCTGGGAGAGGGGGTGTTTTTGCACAGAGGTATGGGAGGGGGGGGGAGGTTTTCTGCAGCACCTTGATATGCAGATCTGTGCTAAATGAATGTTTTCCATTACAAGAAGAAGAAGAAGAAGAAGAAGAAGAAGAAGAAGAAGAAGAAGAAGAAGAAGAAGAAGAAGAAGAAGAAGAAGAAGAAGAAGAAGAAGAAGAAGAAGAAGAAGAGGAGGAGGAGGAGGAGGAGGAGATTGGATTTATACCCTGCCCTTCACTACCCAAAGGAGTCTCAGAGTGGCTTACAAATTCTTTTCCCTTCCCTTCCCCACAACAGACACCCTGTGAGCAGTGTTCCCTCTAAGCTGAGTTAGTGTGAGCTAGCTCACAGTTTTTTAACCTCCAGATCACAGATTTTTGTCTTAGCTTAGGAAGGATGGCTCCAGAGCAAAATAACTGATGCAGTAGCCAAATCGCTCGCTCACAACTTTAATGCCAGTAGCTCACAAAGAAGAATTTTTGTTCACAAGACTCCGCAGCTTAGAGGGAGCATTACCTGTGAGGTAGGTGGGGCTGAGAGAGCTCTGACAGAAACTACTCTTTTTTCAAGAACAGCTCTGCCAGAACTATGGCTTGCCCAAGGTCATCCAGCAGCTGCAAGTGGAGGAGAGGGGAATCAAACCGGGTTCTCCCAGATTAGAGCACTTAACCACGACACCAAACTGGCTCCTTTACAAGTATTTACTTGTAAGTAGTTTCATTTACTCGACTTAATATAAATAAGCTGAACCAGGAGTAAACAATTCACAATGGCAGAGTTATCTAGTGGTTAGAATGTCAAACTAGGATGGAGGAGACCCAGGTTTGAATCCCCACCCCTGCGACAGAGGCTCCCATTGGACAAGTCACATCCTCTCAGCCTTATGTACCTCACAGAGTTGTTGTAAGGATAAAAGAGAGAAGGAGAGAGCGATGTTAGGTGCTCTGGGTCCCTATCGGAGAGAAAGGCATGGTATAAATGAAGTAAACGGGAATGGCATGAGCAAGGCAGGCAAGGTCCCGAGGCAAGTCAGAACGGCCTCCAGGTGACCCTTTAGCACAAACAGCCGAAGCAGATCTAAAATTGATAAGACAAGGAAACACCCCACACAGGTACAAGCACAATGGTGTTCCTGCAAAGCAACTGGAAGCAGCAGGCATCCTCCGGGGCTAAAAGGAGGCCATTGGGATGCAAGCCTGGCCCAGTTCCTGTAATACAGGCACTACCGTGTGTCTCCGAAAATGAGATTTTGATGATGTAATTCAGAACTGGGGGCAAAAAGTGATAACAGAATGGGGGGGGGGACTGCTTCCACCAACAACTTGTGCTGTGTAACAGAGCACCCTCTAGTGGAAAACTTCTCACATAGTCCTTTTTAATCTGCAAATTCTGTTACTATCTCATATTCTCCTCATGAAAGAGCAATGAGACAGGGCAATAGTGCGACAGCCTCATTATACACCGCATACACAAGTGTCACTGATTTTTGTCAACAAACTTTAAAAATCATCCACACAAGGGGGTGGATGTTTAGAGTCCTTGGTGCTCAGGCAACACTTGCAACCAAAGTTACTTGTGCATCTTAAATCCGCTCAAAACCCTCTAGCAGGCAGGAGAGAGACCAATTTCCTTCGTCTCCCACTGGCAACTGCTTCCGTGGAGCCCAGCTGAGATGACAAAAGGAAATCAGGCAATGGCATCAAGGATGTGGGGCAGGCAAAGAGGTAGGCAGAAAGGGCAAGAGGTTTTCCAGCACCAGAAACGTATCACCCCCTGGATACCAGCAGAAAGCCAAACTACCTTTGGAGATTCCTGCTCCTCTGCCATATTCTTTACTACTGGAAATCCCTGGGAAAAGCCTAATTCAGAAGTGCGGGCACTCGAAATATTCCAGAAAGCACTGCCCACATACTGACCAGCCCATCTTTGCAATCGTAAGTTTGTTTTTCAGTCTCCCAAGCCCCATGTTCAACAAGCACAGAAGTCAAACCACTTAGTGCAGGGGTGTCAAACATAAGGCCAGGGGGCCAGAAGCAGCCCGGCCAGGGCTCTTATGCAGCCCGCAAGCAACTAGTGCAAAGGAGGGAAGACCACTCGGGGGGGGGGGGCATGAGG